GCAGCTGGACCGCACTGGGATGGAGATGGGGAGGGGAAGGTTTGGGGGTGACCCCCACGCTCCGGGTGCGGAGGTGGCGGAGCCCATCAGCGGAGCAAGGGCTGGGGCAGAGAGAGCGGAGATGTGTCCCGGGTGACCCCGAGGCGTGGGGGAACGCCGGGGCCTGGGTGCTGCCCAGAGCAGCCCCCCTGTCTGACCCTGTCCCTCCCGCATGCTGCTCCTTCCCCACCCACCCATCCTTGCATGAACCCTCTGCCTCCTCCCACCCTCCTCCTCCTCCCCACAGCAGCCCTGTCTGGCAGCAGAGTTACGGTAAGGTCTGTGTCATGTGGCTCCTTTCATCTTTGCTCCCTAAACACCAGCACAGCTCCGCTGGCAGCCCAGCATCACCCACACTGCGCCAGTAGGGAAACTGAGGCATCGCTGGGTCCTGCTGCCTTGAGCCGCGTGAGCCCTTGTCTGGGCAAGCCATGCAAGGTGAGGTGGGGAAGTAGAAGAGCTAGGGGGGATGTACCCCCCATGGCACACACTGTCACTGTCCTCCCCACACATCCCTATCACCACCAGGGCCGCTCCATCCCAGCTGCCGAACGTGTGCCAGACCCTGCATGGCCCGGCCTGGGCTGGGGAACCATGGCTCTGCCAGTGCTACCAGGCTTCAGGGGGTTCCCGTCAGGACGAGGGCAGGCAGGGGGGCTGCAGGCTGCAGGAAGCCCAGGGCAAGGCAGGTCTGGCTCCCTGACATCGCCTGGCCTCACTCCCTGCTCAGTGCCACCGCACAGAGATCGCCCACCCGCCTGCAAGGGGGGTCGGGGCACAGTCAGGGCCCCTCGTCCGTCACCCCACTCCCCGGGCAGAGCGCTGGGGACACGGGGCTCTCTGCCTGTCCCTGCTTCTCCTGCTGCAGCCCAGGGCCCTTCTCCAGCCCTGTGAACTTCTGTGTCCGTCTCCTGGCTGTGCAGCTGAGGAACGTTTTACCCTTTGCACTGGCCTCAGCTGAGGTCATGTTTTCGGCAGAACTGAGCCAGGCTCTTTCAGGAGAGGGGCCCCGGCTGGAGGGCCCGGGGGACCTTGCACCACCCCTCTGGCCTGGCAGCAGCCTCCTCGCTCCGAGCTGGTGCCAGCACAGCATGAGCAGCTCGGTTTGGCGCGGGATGGGGCTGGATGCAGCTTTGGTCCAGTGAGACACAGAGCAGGCTGGGTCCCATGACCGGGGGGGAGCAGGGTGCGATGCCAGCAGCCAGCGCAGGCAGAGCAGTTGTGTCCACTGGCACCATCATATCCCCGTCCCTCCCTCTGTCCTAAGGACAAGTCCCAGGGAAGGGCAGCGGGCTGGCCCTCCACCAAGGCAGATCTTCCTCCTCTTCTCCCCATACAGCCCCTTGCACCCCCAGGGAGGGGACGGGAATGGGGAGGGCTGGGGTTTTACCCCAGGTGGTATTGGTGTAAACCAAAGCAGGGCTTTGGTGGAGGAGCCCTCGGGCCCTGCAGTGCCACAGTACCTCCGGACAGCATGTGTATGGTGCAGGGAGCCCCGCCGCGAAGGACAGCGAAGGGTCTGCTGTCCCGGGGAGGAAGGACGGAGCCGGCAGCCCCCGGATGTGCAGGCTTCTGGCGTGCTGCTGGCCCCGGGCTGGGCAGCACTGCTCCCTTCCCTGTCCCCGTCGCTGTTCCCGGCCGGCCTGACCCCGGCTTGCTCTGCTGGCCTCAGAGCAATTGCCCATGTAAGGGCAGAGGGCTGGGGAGCCAAATCCCTGATCTGGATTTCAATGAGCGAGCGGGTGGTGATGCACTCGCTCACATGCTCCAGGATGCAAGAGGAGCTTGCAGAGGCCAGGAAGGGATTTTCCCTGGCTGCGAGCAGCGTTGCACAATCGGCCGGCTCTGGCAGGGAAGGGGTCAGACCTCGCTCCGGAGCAGCAGACGCTGCCGCATCTGGAAGGGAGCAGCCGGGCTCCCGCTCTGCCTGACGTGGGGCAGGAGGAGCCTGGAGGCTGGGAGGGAAGCGGGTCGGGCTCCTTCCCTCAAGCCGGCATAACTCGGCACTGCCTCAAGAAAGCCTGCCGGTGCCCAGGGGCTCGGAGCTCCGCTGAAGCTGCCCTGCTCCCAGCAAAGCCATGCCGGGGGCTCTGCTTGCCCCCTGCCCTGGCTTCGGAGCTGGCAGCCCTGGGAAGCGCCGTCCTGCCGTGGGCAGGGAAGGCCGTCCTGCAGGGAAGCAACTTGCCCATGGCCCATGGCCTGCCCTGGCTTCGGAGCTGGCAGCCCTGGGAAGCGCCGTCCTGCCGTGGGCAGGGAAGCAACTTGCCCATGGTCACGCCTCAGGCAGGGGCCAAGGCTGGTTCTCAAGCAAAGCTGGGAGCAAAACTCCACCAACCAGTCTGCCGCACGTGGGGTGATGCTGCCTCCCTGCTCCCCTCCACTCCCACGACCGGCCCGGGTGGTAACTGAGCCCCAGCAGCACCCACAGAGCGAGGGGGGAGAGGAGCCAGGCTGGGAACCACGGAAAAAACCAGCCCTGCCGCGGCAGCGGCACCCGAGGAGAATCAAAGGACCCCATGGGCCAGGCAGGGGGCGGCGGGAGGAGCTGGAGCGGGGACAAAGGAGCTCTTTGCAGCCGCAGTGAATGGCAGCTTCACATCTGACCTTTCCGTCTGGGTGCTGGTATTGTGCTGGGTCAGGCAGCTTCCCCCTACGGTTTGGGCTGCAGCAAGATTTCAGGCTGAGGTTCAAGAGCCAACCATCCTCCCCCCCCAAAAACTGCTTCATTCTCCTCCTGAGCTGCTGGGTTCCTTTAAGGAGGGAATCTCGCCTCTCTCATCAGTTCAGGCTAATTAAACTCTGCTAAACCAATTAGAGCTGCAATTTGCAACAAGACATTCAATTGAGAAGTGTTTCTCGCAGAGCCCAGGGTCAGGGCACAGGCAGAAGAGCAGAGGTTTCATATTGACGGCTTGGATCTGCTGGCAGGCATTGGGCAGGTCCCTGGATGTCTTTTGGTCGCCGTTTACCCCTCGGAGCAAAGCGATCCCGGCCCCGTTATGCTCCCCGTCGCAGCAGGACTCCCAGTTTTCTCCCATGCAAGCAGAGATGCTGCCAAACACCCCAGCAGTGCCCACAGGGAGCGGGGCTGCCAGCCGGGGGTCCCTGCAGCCCAAGGCACTG